CATTCCAGAGACTAGAAATGTCAGTCCTTGTGTTTTCTTCTGTTGAAGGAAATCTGGAAAACACAGTCCTTGCGGGGCCAGATTCTGATCCCCTTCCTAGGAAAATGAGCAGTAAGGAATTTGACAGTGATACAATGAGAAGGATCAGGCCCTCAAGCCTTTCCAGGATACAACTGCAGTATTACAAAGGTAATGAAACAGAATGAACTTGTCTATGTGGGACTCCTTCCCACATGCCCCTGGTTTTACTAGCAGAAGAGGCTGCAACTGAGAACCACTTAGGAGAGGGAAGGAAGAAACCTCAGGAAGTCAGGGAAAAAATGCTCTTCCACCCAAGCCAAAATGATACACTCGGTTCCCAAATCCTTCCATGATGGAATGTGTACAAATTATTTGCACACCCACCTCAACTATACAGCTTAATCAATTAGACAGTAAGATGCTTCACTGGTCAGAAAGTGCAGCCTGTGTTATTGGAAAGGATAAAACAAAGGTGCGTTAATGACTAGAAAAGGAATGGTCAGGATTTAGTGATCTAAGATCCACTTGCCTGTCTTACAGTGAAAGAGACTGCAGAACATTCTAATGCTCCAATATACTTAAGGACTAGTTAGGTGCCACTAGCCTTGTAAGGAGAGTCAAACATTTCCTCAAAAGATAAAACTTGACTGTGCCAAGATAGGCAACAATGCACTTTGTGGGGGTAAAGCAAGAGTTCAGGTGTTCCTGGTGAAGGAAGTTTCTTAAGCACTGGAGCAAACTGTAATAGAAATCAGTTTCATTCCAACGCCCAGAGCTCCCTCTGCAGCCTCCCCCTGCAATTAGGGAGCAGATGAAAGCTAGATGAGACACACTGGGCTAAAGAAAAAAATCTCCAGTTAAGACAGGTCTTGTTGTAGTGTTAGAGATCTGTTAGCTTTAAAACTAGAATGGTCACCTCATTCCAAAGAGGACTATTTTAATTGTACTGGTGGAGAAGGGATGCAAGAGAAACTGTCTCGGACATTCTAGCTATCACTGGGCACAGGGAGAGTAGGAATTTGACAGCAGGGAGAGAAACTTCCTCAGGGTTGCAAGTGATAGTCCAGTTCATTTTAAATCTCTTCCCTCATTATGCATGTCTCTCATCTACCGGCCTTGAGGGAAGCCTTTGCCTCTTAAAGCTGTACACCCCACCCCAAGATTCAGCCAGATGGAAAAGAAGGAAGCAATGCATTGTGGAGAGGTTCTTTTTCGGCTTATTGGGTCTTCTTGTCCTCTGGTGGGAAATAAGGAGGAGGGGGAGGCTGGTCCTAAAATAGAGGAGGGGAAAATATGTAAGCAACATAGATCAAGTTAGAAAATTAATTAATTCAAACATATGCTTTGTCTCCAACAGGTACAATGGGTTTAACACAATTAATATTGCTGCTTTTAACCCTCTGCTACCCATACATGATCACTATCCAGATTCTGCACATTTAATCTCATTTCCTGTCAAACTCACCAGTGGCCCAATTCCCTCTATGACGACTCTGGCCCCCTTTACATATGCTATATACAATCGTTTATTACATATAGGACTGTGTGTGAAACTTACTGTGGGCATGTAGACGTTATGAGGGTTGACTGGACTGTAATAAGCACTGGCAGCAGCTTCTGCAGCCTTCGCTTCAGCTATTACAAACAAACACAGTTTAGAAAGAGTAGCTGACACTGCAGGAACTTCTATTATCCATAAAGCTGAGCATGTTTCTGTCTTCCAGATATTGACCAACCCCCAATTTGGTACCCACCTGATCTACAAAGTGGCAACATCACCACAAAGCTACATAGTCTCAGAGAGGTAGCTGGGTTAGCCTGTAACTTACAAACAATGAGTGTTGGCTCCCTCTCCCCCTCCCTCCCGGACAGTCTCTATGACAAAGGATAAGTGGACACAAACCATGCCTCAGAAATGGTAACAAATTACATATAAAGACATTAATTGATTAACACATTGCAAAGGCAATTTCCTTTGCCTTAGACATCTGCATTTTCACATCAAAAGCTATGAATGGGAAACATCAAGCTCACTTAGCCTCATTAAAACAGGTCCTACAATTGACAGGTACTTCTTTTGCTGTTATATAGATATCTTGGTTTATGTTATTTCTACTCCAACTCATCTGATGAAGTGGGTTTTACCCATGAAAGCTCATGATACCAAACATTTTTGTTAGTCTCTAAGGATATGTCTACTCTGCACACTTATTTCTAAATAAGATAATCTGGAATAGTTATTCCGAAATAGCATGTCTACATCAGGGAAGCCTGCCTCGCACTAATTTTGAGGCTTCCCTGCAGTGTAGACGTGCTATCTTGATTTAGAACCCCAGGAGGCACTGTGGAGGAATGCCCTGATGAGGAGCTATTTCGAAATAGCAACAGTAGAGTGTCTACACAGGTCTTATTTCAAAATAGCTATTTTGGAATAGGCGTTATTCCTCATAAAATGAAGTTTACAGATTTTGGAACAAGCCGGCCATTATTTCAAATTTATTTTGAAATAACGGAATGGGTGTGTAGATGCTCACATTGTTATTTTGAAATAATGCTAGTTATCTTGAAATAACGATGCAGTGTAAATGCACCCTAAGATGCCACAGGACTATTCATTGTTTAAAAAGCTACATAGTTAGTGGGACCCTTTCAATGTCCGAGGGTAAAGAATCAATACCCGTTACTTAAGTGACAGTCCTGAGCTGAACAGCTATAGATTCAGAGTCAAGTGGTATGCTAACCTCTCCCCCAACTCCTTTGAAGAGATCCAGCATTATTAAAGGTCTCGCTCAGCATTTGTTCCACATGATATTAGAGATTTCACATGCAAGAACTTCAGAAAATGTCCCAAATTAATTTGGAAAAGATGTAATTCAAACTACAAGTCTGAGTTTTGTAACCTGCCTCAGACCCATTTTCATGAAATGCCTCCCATCCAATTCCAACTTTTAGGGAAGCATGGGCAGGTCAGATTAACAAGGCTTGTCCTGCTTAGTTCTCTGGCTTTCCGATGGGATGCAGCACATAATGGTAGAGCTGTGCTAAACAAATGCTGCTCAACTCTATGTATTTCTATCATGATTCACTCATTGTTCTATTTCACTGAAAAGTCAGACGGATTCCCATTGAACTGCTGCTGCAAGCGCTCCTTTATAAGAGCATTTCTATTACAGAAAGCATTCTGTTCTCACTGAGACCGTCTTACTCATCAAATCTATTCCCCTGCTGATGAATATAAACTTTTACACTGATTGCCCCCTCTTATTTTTTTACTTCTGTTAGCCCTGCAGAGTAATGTCACTATTGAAATACAGGCTGGATTCAATTCCAGTTCTCACAGAAACAGAATTGATCCAACGGGAGAATGTTTGTTGATGAACTTGTTGGAAAGATCTCAGGTTGATCACTGGACTAAACTGTCTCTGCAGGGCTGGCAGTTAGGGGAAAAAAATCTTTTAACTTGTAAATAGAGCAAGTTGGCTCTGAAATCATCAAGAGATATATGCGAAACCTCAGTCGTGCCAAGTTTAGAATGTTACATCTCTGCTCTGAAATGCATTTTAAAACTTTTGCTCATAGTCATTATGCCCCATAGACAACTATTTGCTGCACATTTCTGTATGGCCTTGGTAGAGAGAAGAGAAATATTCATGAAAGTATCAGATCAATTTATCATCAATGGCTGATGCCACTAACAAAGAAAGGGGTTTTAATCTACCTCACTAGACACACTTCTCACCTGCAGGAGTGGAAGGAAGATCTGGACCACTGGCTGAAGACTCCATGGGCCCACCAGGGTAAGGAGGAGGTGGAGGTTGCATGTAGCCCATGGCTCCATCCATCATGGGGGGACCAGGATAAAACTCTGTTAGGAAATAAAGTAACCATCAAACATTGTAGGAACGGCTGCTTTGGGTCAGCCACATACAATATACAGCCAAAACAAGTCTGAAAACCAGATACAATTCAATAAATTAAAGTGCTTAAATTCATAAAGCGCTGAACCAAACTGAAAAAAATCCAAACCCCTCCAAACATACAGGCACATTCCTCTCTTCCTTAGGCTACTTTTAATTTAGTGACTGGAAAGATTTCCTTATTGAGTCTGCAGACTCACCAGGAGGTGGTGGTGGGTATGGGTATCCTGCTGGAGGGGGACCATACATCCCATTGGCTGCAGGTGGGGCAAAGGCATATGCTCCATTCGGCATGTAGGAATAACCATAAGCTCCATTGGGAGCTTCTCCTCTAGAGGCTGTGAAAACAAAAGCAAGTTGATTATACCAGATCCAAAAGACTCCGTGTGGATCCAAGTTACTGGCTGAAATTCAAAAATATTTAACCTGTCCTGCTGTACCTTATTCTAGGAAGGTTCCATGCACCTTGTGCTCATAACAAGCCGTCATAAAAAAAGTCAACTCCCCCTCCACCATTATCTATATTAGCCTTGTTAAAATAAATTTCAATACCTTGAGACGCCACTTGCAGCAGACGCTGTCCAAACTCAATAGCGCCTCCAGCTGAAAAAGTCATTTTGAATGTTACAGATCCTTCCCAGCCACCTGTGAAAGAAAACATAAATCAGATGGAAGAGGAGAATCTGTTTCAGTGTTTAGACTCTCTGCCATGAGGCAGTTGTTGTAATCCATCTACAGATCCCTCACATACAGCATTAAAGTACTTTGCTTTTGCCAAATACCTTAGAAATCTTGAGGTAAAGGAGAGGACCAACATAATTATGCTTTGATTAGAAAAATACATGCTGGCCACGAGTGTTTCAGATCAAGATGTGTGTGAAGTTGAAGCACCAATCAGAGATTAGAAAGGCTACAGAAGTTGTGTGACTGTTGTCATTGCCAACCACTGACAGTCTAAAACTCCACTCTGGCTGCTTTGGATCGGTACAGGATTAGTGCAGAATTCAGGGATTGTCCTAATCCACTTTTGCTAAGAAGTCTTGACAGCTAGTCAATCATTAGCTATAAATTAGATGGGGGGACGAGAAGGAGGGAAGGAATTGAGTACCCAGTGTAGCAAAGAACATAAATGGTATGAAAAAGGTGAGCTACTTAAAGCTACTATAGAGTCCAAGGCAGATGTTTGAGGATAGGATAACAAATACAGGAGTGACATCCCATATTTCAGGCCTAAAATGAACAGGAACAGCCCAAGAGTCCCAGCAGCACACCACAGAGGTGTCAATGGCAGGACAAGAAAACTAAACCAAAGACCCTTCTGTGTGTTACAATGACATTCCTATTAAAGGGGAACTCCTCTGGGAAAGGCTTGCACAGATTTTCAGCAAATCCTTTTGCCTTTTACATGGTTTTCAGAGCTTGTTCTCACTATGCGTGCTCCCTCACAGACTGGTTTGTCCTATTTGATCTTGCACAGGAGCTATAATGCTGACTTCCAGGATCACAGACGGTGCTGTAATAAGTATGGGATTATGACTTCAGCACCAGGGCAAGCAAGAGAAATTGAGCTGGGGATGAGAGAGAGGTGATTAAATTGCAGGTTTCCAGCAACAGTGAAAGGAGGAACACAAAAAGTACTGGGTTTTATATGTTTTATACATTGTACTTGTATAAATAATTTTCCTTTTCTTCAGGTTTGATCAAATGCGTAAGCCCTCTTTTAAAACCATCCTCCCTCAGGACTGTCTCTTTTCTTTCACGCCTGAAATAAAATACATAACGCCCATTTATTCAGTTTCCTGTTATAATAAAGTGACATGAGATTGGCTTTATTGCTAAGGTGTGTTACAGCAAAAACATGCCTTTCCTTGAGCTACATAAGAGATTTGTGATGGACAACTGTTTCTGGTTACTTGTTGGAAAGTGAGTTTAGGAAGAAGCAGAGAGGTTTAGCGAAGAATAATCTGGACAAGGATTGAAGAAATTATCTCTACAGGCCATAGCTTACTGACAGTTCTTTGAGCAGGGATGGGCAAACTTTTGGCCAGAGGGCTACACTGGGAATGGCCATTGTATGGAGGGCTGGGTAAAGGATGTTGGAGGCTGTGCAGCAAGGTGTGACCCAGTCCCCGCCCCTCATTCTACCCCGAGTCCCCATTCCCTGCCCTTCTGACTGGCCCCCATCCAACACTTGTGCCACTCATCCAGAGCTGCTGCCTCACTGCTGGAAGCATCAGGACACTGCCCAGGTCCTGGGGGAGGTTAGGCTGTGGGAAGAGGAGCTAGAAGGAAGGGGGGGGGGCAGGGTCTAGCCACCCCTGCTCATCATGCTGCCTGGAAGTTGGGCTGGGATCTCCTGGCAAGGCTATCCCGACTTCACTTCCCGATGGGAACTCAGGGGCAGCACTGAAGGGTCTGATAGGCCAGATGTGCCCTTCAGGCCATAGTTCCCCTCGTCTGCCTAAAAGCCTTGTTAGCATGACCTTCTCTCTGTTATGATCCTCTTATGGATGTTTAGTGAATGAGATAATTCGGCCAAGTAAAATTTAACATTCAGAACAGAGTAGAAATTAGATTGGTTTCTGAAACAGACCAACTCATTGTAACTGGACTTGGAGAAAGGGAAAGGAGAAGCATTTTTGGTTACAGATTTTAAAGAAATACATACATGTTAAAAGTACTGAACACTGAGTATCCACATGGATACCACCCATTTTAGCTTATTGCTAAACTTGATACTTCTCTGAATCTGACGCTGTGCAACTATCCTTGCACTACTGTAACCAAAAAATACATACCTCCTGTCTCTGCTTTCACTGTCCCCTTGATATAATTTGCTCCAAAGACAGGCTGTTTAATCTCACAATCTTTCAACAGATAAAAAGGCATCATGAAAGACTGCATAGGATCCTTTCCCTTGGACACAAAGATAACCTGCAGGGGAGAGGAGCAAACTCACAGTAAGCCACATTTAGAACAAGCACAGCACATAGGGATAATTTACTGCGCAAAGATGGAGTTTGGGGTGCTGAAACTGCTTCCCACGCCTGGAGCTCTTCATAAACCCTGCAGGTCACCAGACCTTCAGAATAGTAGCAAAATGATTGTAAGCTGAAGTACCTTCTAGAAACATACATGATCTAAACCTCTCTCCTCCCGATTTCTAGTGAGCTTGCTGCTCTCTGGATGGCTATGATTAATAGTTTAACTAACGCATTAAGCATTTGCATTTCAACCTAAGGATCCCTACCAGGCTATATAGCTGCTTACAGAAACTAATTAGTATTTATGTCTTTTGACAAGGATTTACAATGCATTCATGATGCTGCTGAGGTCCAAAGATCAGCCATTTTTGAGAGCTCCTAGATTAACCATACTTGCAGAAACAAGAAAAATTTTTCTGTCACTGTCTATTTAAAGCATCTGATCCCATTACAAAAACTAATTACTTACTCTAAATGGAGTCAAGAAAACACTTCCTTTCTTGGTCCCTTTGAAGGCATCTGGCACGTGTTCCATATCACTGAATGTAATTTCTACGTGGTCATAGGTCATCAAAACGCTACAAGCAAGCAAAGGAAAGAAGAGGCCCACTATTAGAACTTGATCCAGAGGAGTGTTTTGTGTACTATTTGGGAGCCTATGTAATGTGAGCTGATGACCTCAATCCAACACTCAGCAGACAAGTGTCCCTATCATAAAAAGCATGACCACAAATGGCTTTTTGGTCAGTTTCTGGGCTTGTCAACACAGTTTTTAAATGGATTTAGTTTGATTTAGAAACTGGTAAGTTAAATCAGTGCAACTTGCTAGAGTGGCTGCAGTTACACCAGTATAAAGGTGCCTTATACTTATATAGCTTAACCTCATAGTCATAGCACCTCTATGCTAGTATAACTGTGTCCACAATAGCAGGGGGGTTACCTGGATTAAATTACATTAATGTAAAATCCAACTGCTAACTGAAATAGTAAAATCTATGCATAGAACAGGTCTCAGCAGACATCTGCACAAAAATTGAGTGTTGGTCAGGTCCAAGAGGTCAGCAGCCATGAGGAGTGAACTACCCTGCTGTGCCAGAACAAGTGCCTAATATGTTACAGCTGACACACACTGGCAGGGAAGCACAGGGAAAGGTGTTCTGCTGCTAGCCAGACTGAGCATCTTCTTTGGCAACACAGGATTTTAAGTCTCCAGGGCGCCAACTCAACATCTTTCTCCAGCACAATATCCACTAACAAAGTAGCAAAGGCTTCAGAGGAGTAGCTGAGTTAGTCTGTAACAGGAAAAACTTAAAAAACAACAAATAGTGTTACAGCTCCTTACAGACTAACAAAACGTGTAGAGGGTATGAGCTTTTGTGGGCACAAACGCTAGCATAGTAGAGGGTAGCTTCCAGAGAGTAGGAGATTGCTGAACAGCGGAGAGCGTGGCAAGGGGGTAGGAGATGGATCCGCCTGGGTCCCTGCCGCTGGCACTAGATGGGCATCACGTCCAGCAGCACTAGAGCATGGGGATGTTAACATGTGTGTAACTGGCTAAGTGTGTAACCATTGCGGCTACACGTGGGACAGCAGCCAGCACTGCCAAGAGCTGCTTTTACGCCATCTGCAGGGCGCACCAGCCCCCGCCACCCCGCCC